TGGTGTGAACTGCCAAGCTGGCTCCCTGCTTCTCCAGTCACTTATGTCTCTCACTTCCTACACTGCAGCATTAGAATGTTACTCTGTGTCTTCAGTTTTATACACTGTGTATAGGACCTGATGATTTACAGGACCTTAGACTGCTGCAGTGGAGGGGGATAGAGGATCCAGGGACTTGTCTTAGAGAGAGCCAGTTCCAAGGATCTGGTAGCTATAACTTTTTATTTGCCCCTCTGCAAGGGTTAAGAAATGTTCTGCCCAGAGTTCTACTTTAACTGGTTTGCTGCTTTTAGTTTGCACACAGCTTGAAGTCAAATTACAAGGTACATTTTGTTTGTAATATGACATCCCAACAATTAAGATTGCACTGGTAGTTGTACTGTTAGTGAGTTGTTGGTACTGTTAGTGAGCGAGTTGTTTGCACATCTAAAGGACTGCTAGGGGTCTCTAGTTTCTAATTACAAACACATCACAACACTGGGACTGCTCTTGTAATTATACTAGAGGCAGAACCTGCTATTTTGACACATTTGAGGAAGTACACTGCAACAGCTTTTCTCATTATCTCAGAAATACGGCAGGCAAGGACGCTCAAAGGATCAATAAACCCAAAAGGAAAAATATATTATATTGCAGCCTAGTAGTGCTTAGATTTGATGGCTGTATTCGTTTTTTTGTTTTTAGGCTAAAAACATTTTCAGCTACTACAGAAAATTGATCTTGCCACAAATACGGTGTCCTTGTTACACTGTGAGTTGCCCTGGAAACAAAACAGCCTTATGTAAATCCTGTAAACTTCGAATCCCATAATCCTGTGTGATGGAGATGAACAAAGTCAGACATGTTTGAAGTCCACCCTAGGCAACTCTGGCTCCCTCCATAGATACAATGGAAGGGTGAATGTAGCCACCCAGGGACAGGAAGTGTGTTATTTGCAGGACCACCAGTTGAAAAAAAGCCTGAAAAAAAGAAAATTCATACAACTACCATGTCTGATGATTGGAAAGCTTTAATATATAAAACATTTGTTTGGATAAGCTTTGATAAAGTTTGCTAAAATCCTAGCAAATTTGATTTTTACTTAAGAATAAGCATGCATTGCTTATTCTGTTCCCTTGCAATATAACAGCAGAGTTTCCACTTGCTATGTTGTAGTACGAGTCTATTTCTTACTTGTAAGTTTTGGTGGTTTGTACACTGAAAATTTCAAACTTTACAAACCTTTGTACAATTAAATGAAACATTGTAATGTCATAAACTATTTTAGTGGCATGCAAAAACTTCTAAGATATAAACAGAGAGGACACATAAAAGACACATTGCAGTTTATGATGTGTAGATACCCACCTGGAGAGATGAAAGCTTGAGAGATAAAGAGGGGAAAAAAAACCTGAGAAATGGCTACATTCAGGAAGAAGATATGACTATGATGGGAAGGATTTAAAGTGGAAGGGTAACAGTTATAGCCCCCAGAAGTGCACATTTTATCTCGAGGCACCATTTGGCTTAAAATAAAATGTAGATCAAAGCTTGTCCTTAACCTATAAGTTTCTTAAGGCTTAATTATAAAAGGTTATACTTCCAAAGGACAAAAACATTATTCATTTATCTGTTCTTGTCTTCCAGGTTTATCTTGCAGATTATGGACTTTCTTACAGATACTGCCCTGATGGGAAACACAAAGAATATAAAGAAGACCCAAGAAAATGCCACAACGGGACACTTGAGTTTACCAGCTTAGATGCTCACAAGGGGGCCGGTATGTTGCTTTTTTATTATTATTACTGTATGAGCAGTTTAATTAAAAGAATATATAATGTGCATTATGAACATGGTTCTTTTTACCGGAGCATTGTCATCTTTACCTTTGTAGATGTATAGTAGTTTTGTGAACTGCTATCTGTGTACTTACTCTGAATGCCTTTGTTCATTACAAAAACAAATTATATATATATATATTGTAACAAGGACACTCCACTGTAGTCCAGGTAAGTCAAGGAAACACAGTTTATTGAAAGGGCAAACACAAAATAGCTTGAAAC